CCTAAACCCACAACCCAAAGCCCACTAGGGAACCCGTTTAAAAGGGCCCCTAGACCCTAAACCCTAAACCCTAAAAGCCCCGCTCTCCGGAAGGAAAGAAGCACCAACTCAAGCGCCTCAGCACGGCCTTGGCCAAGTTGCTCGAGACACTTTGGCTCAATGGCCATTTGAGGGTTGAGGGTTTAGGGTTGAGGGTTGAGGGTTTAGGGTTGAGGGTTTAGGGTTTAGGGTTTAGGGGTTTAGGGGTTTAGGGTTTAGGGATGTATCAGGGTTGAGGGTAGATGCATATATTTTCGGCTTTTATAAGGCTTAGGTCGTGTATATACATAGATGGTTCAGGATATAGGCGGTATAGGTATACGTTTGATGTTCGGTTGAGGTCTTGCAGGTCCTTAGGATGTAGTGCTGTGGAGAGTACCACAGGGCTTCTGAGAGACCCCAGTTGTGACGATTTAGGGTTTAGGGTTTAGGCGCTTGGGCTCTTGGAGGTTTCTGTGTCGGAAAACGGATCCGTACGGTTGATGATATAAATCCTGCATTGCCCATAATGGAGAATGGACCATAGTTCCCATAGTTTAGGGTCCTTAAGGTAATGCAGGTTGGGGCTTTCGGATTTCGAGAACAATGAACACCCCGACAGTTGAGACTGACAGAAGCCGTCAAGCAGCCGTCACCGCAGTCCCAAACCCCACTGCCGGCACTGAATACGATCCTAACATCTCCTTTTCCAACAGCCATACATAGATCACAAGCCTTCATGTTGCCGGTTTAGATCGTCCACTCACAAAAAGGCCCTAAACCCTAAACCCTAAGACTCTAGATCTCAGGGGCACAGCTCATGGGCATCGAAGTTTCAGTGAGACTCATTCACACAGGCTGTTGGGCTAATAGGCTCTGCCCACAGCCTGAAATGTAGGAGTTTTGAGTTACCGTAGCTTGTTATCCTAGGGGCCCTCGCCAAAAACCTAGGACATCCACAAAAGGTGCTGCATTCTAGAGCCCGGGTAGAGTCTGTAGGATTTGGGGGTTTCCTAAAATAGGAGACCCTAATATAGTACCCCAAATAGTAGGATCCAAATTATGAGGACCCCCAAATAAGGTATCCCCTATTTTCGGAAACCCTAAACCCTAAACCCTAAACCCTAAACTCCCACTTTGGGCTTCAGGTTTGGGTTCATGCTCCATTTGCCTGGACCCACGCGGGCGGACTAGTGGTTTGGTGTTGAGGGTCCATTCAATTCCCCAAGGGTCCTAGGTTATTAGGGTTTAGGGTTTAGGGTTTAGGGTTTAGGGTTTAGGGGTTTAGGGGTTTAGGGTTTAGGGTTTAGGGTTTAGGGGTTTAGGGTATTGTTTATGGGGGATGCTACTTTTCCGAATCATAACAAGGATTCCGAATACAGAAACCTGAATGGGATGGGCTTAGGGTGAAGGAGAACCGAATGGCTGAATGTAGCCCGCAGAAAGGCATTGTCCGTACTCTTCCGTAGAAAACACACCTTTCCGCGTACCCAAATAGTAATTCCTGAGCCCTAAAGTGCTTAGCTGGGGACTAGTTACTGACTACTGTAAGGCCAAAGTATATACTACTGGACATGGACCCTTTTGATCCCCAAGCTCGAAGCTCTACAAGCAGGCAAGGGCACAAACTCCAGCAAGTGGAGGAGGCCCCACGGCGGATTATTTTTTTGGGTGTCCCTAAACCCTAAACCCTAAACCCTATGGGGTTCGGGCTTAAGGTTCCAAAAGCTTGTCATGTTCAAAGGCGGCTGGAGGGTGGACTTGAGGAGTTAGAGTCGTTAGGGCCCGAGAAAGTTTTAGGCTTTGAGGCCATACTTATATAGGGGCCTTAATACTTATTTATACTTTTTTAGGGTTTCCTTATTATAAAGATACTATAAAGGACCCCGAACCCCTATTCTAATTGTTAAGGTCCCTATATTTTTTTGGGGGGATTCCAGGGTCATGTTTGGAGCAAAGGTCAAAAAGACCGCCCCGCAGGCCCTTGATTGCATCAAGCGAGCCGGCATGGACTACCGCGCCAAAGTGGTCATCAGCGGCCCGCAGCAAAGAGTCGTCTTTAGGCTCGACCTTAAACTACCAAAGCCTACATTTATGTCGGGTGCCGTGCTATATTTGTGACCCAGAAGGGACCCCCCATTTCGAGAACTACCCAGAAATCTTGGGGTTGAAGATTCACCCCTCAGAAGCTCATAGATGATAGAGTTTAGGCTTGATGAGTGCTTCGGGTCTGTTACCGTATCTGGGGTGTCTTCCAAATCCGACAACCCTGAACCCCCTAAATTCCTAAACCCTAAACCCTACCCCTAAATTGCTAAACC